ACTTTCTAGTATTAGACCAAACTTGGGTCCCTTGTTCAAGCCCCGTTTGTTCACGATATATCAAAAGTGTTTTCACCGTGTTGGGCATGTAAGTTGCATCTGTGTTTGTGACATTCATCTGTCCTTTTATTTCCTCAGGATGTTTTATTTGACTTTGGAATCAGTTTTTTCTGTTTTTCCAGAAGAGTTCGGGCAGGGTCAGAGCTACCAGCGTCCTGACCGCTGAGTAGAAATGCCTGGGAAGCCACCTGGCCCAGTGCTGCTTTCATGGGGAGACTTTTTTTTTAATCTATAAATTTATTTATCTTGGGGGCTGGGGACGTGGCTCAAGCAGTAGCGCGCTCGCCTGGCATGCGTGCGGCACTGGGTTCCATCCTCAGCACCACATAAGGATAAAATAAAGAGATTGTGTCCACCTAAAGCTAAAAAATAAATATTAAAAAAATTATTTATCTTTTGTAGTTGTAGATACACAGAATGCCTTTTTTGGTTTTATTTTTTATTTTTATGTGGTGCTGAGGATGGAGCCCAGTGCCTCATGTGTGCTAAGGCAAGCGCTCTTCCACTGAGCTAGAGCCCCAGCCCGAGGTKTTTTTTTTTTAATATATATATTTTTAGTTGTAGTTGGACACGATGCCTTTATTTATTTTATTTATTAATGTTTATGTGGTGCTGAGTATCGAGGGTCAAACCCAGCGCCTCTCACATGCTAGGCGAATGCTCTTCTGCTGAGCCACAACCCCAGCTCCTCGTGGGAAGATTTTAACTACTGAGTTGATTTCTCTTGTGGTTACAGGGCTGTTTGGGCATTTTTCTTTTTGTCAGTTTCAGAGGATTATATTTTTGTTTAGGAATCTGTCCACTTTTCTCTCAGTTTCCAAATTCACTGCCGTACAATTACTGATAGTGTGGTCCGTGGCGTCTCTTTAAGTACTTGTTGTGTTTGTAGTTGTGCCTCCTTTCTCCTTCCTAATATTATTATTTTCCAAATTATTCTTGCCAAAATTTGCCTGTTTTTTCAAATAATTAACTTTTAGTTTTGTAGAGCCTCATATATCTCTGTTTTCTACTTTTCTGCTCTTCATCTTGTTTGTTCTTCTTTAAACAAAGCTGGACACAGTTTTATTTCAGCTGTTCTTCCTTAATGAGCATTTAAAACTATAAAACAAATATATAAAACTATATATTTGTTTCTAATTACCATTTTAGCTGCATCCAAATTCTGATATGTAGTTTTAAAATCATAATTCAATTCTTGATCATTTTAATTTCCATTTTGATTCCTTCTTTGATCCATAATACATTCAGAAATATGCTTTTTGATTTCCAATGAAAGCACTTTWTAAAGATTGTTAACAGAAATTAACAGATAATTAATTGATTAGAGAATAGAATTGAATTGTACTTGAAAATACTTGAGATCTGATGTGTGGTCAGTTTTTAAAAGTTTCATTTGTGATTAGATAGTGTGTGCAACCCCCAGTTGTTGGGTGAAGAGCTCCACATTGTTGATTAAGACCCACTGTAACTTCTGGCCTCAAAGAATCTTTGTCCTTTCACTCTGCTTGGTCCGTCAATAATTAAGAGAAATGTTGAAATTTCCAACCAACGTGTTAGATATGTAATTTCTTTCAGGGCTTTAAAAAAATCAAGTATAAACGKATGGACTATTCTGTCCTTTTTGGGAATTGACCATCTTTAAACCTGGAAAATAGTTTTTTGTTTAAATTCTGTCTTAGTAGTATTATATAACTACTCTAGCTCTTTTATTTAATGAGTGCTCAGTATATCTATTGCTAACTTTTTTAAAAAATTTGACCCTTCTGTCACTTAGATTTTTCATGTGTGTGTTATAAACAGAACATAAGCAGATCTTTAAAAATCTAAATTTATAATCTCTTCCTTTTACTTATATGGATGTTTGGTCCATTTACATTTATTGTGATTATGGTATATAGATTTGTTTCTGTTATGTGATCTTATGCTTTCTATTTAATACTCATTTATTTTATTTTTAAAATATCTCCTTATTTTCTTTTGGATTAATCTTTTTTAAAAAACTGTCTTTCTAACCTTTTTGAAAGCTGTGTATCTTATTTCAACTGACTATTGCCCTGGAAATTTTACCATATATTATAAATCAAAATCCAGAGTTTAAAGCACATACTTGGTCCTCTGGCTTATAAAGACACTAAGTTGCTGTAGCTCTAATTGTCTCCTTGAGTGAGTTTTGTACTATTGTTATTTCATATTTTAAATATTTTTTCTTCACAAATTAAACCTTAGACTGGTTTGCTTTTATACAGGCATTCATTCGGAATTACCTCCTTTCCCCTAACTTCTTAGACCTTTCTTCTGGGATTGTTTCCTTTCTTTGTGAGGTATATCCTGGGGTCATGATCTGTTGAAAGTAAACTCTCTGTTTTTATCTAAAAATGCCTTTATTTTTGCCATTTTCAAAAGTAATTTTTCTGGTTGGAGAGCTGTGATTCTACAGTAATTGTCTCTTAACACGTTAAAAAAAAAAAACACACAGCACTCCCCCACACTCTAGCTTTCACGGCTGTGCTTGTCATGCCTTGGTGTGGCTTCTGCAGGACTCGCCTCAGAACCGGCGCTCTGTGGGTGGGGCCCCCAAGCTCCTGGGGGGCTCTGATGTGCTAGAGGTCAAAACCACTGTACTCGTCTGCCTTCTGGTTCACACAGTCACCCCTCAGCTTTGCCTAATCTGTGGCCTAATCTATACTTTAATTGTTCAACAATTTTTAATTATTATATTTTTTATTTCAAGAAATTCTATTTGCCTATCATTTCAAAAATGCCTTGTCAGTTTGATAATATCGTTCTCCCTGCTCATTTTTAATACCATTCGCGCCCTTAACTACTTTATACACAACCACGCTGCGTTCTCTAATTAATAATTCTCTATCTGAAGTTGAAATCTGCTTGGCTTGTCCTTGCCAACTTATGTTCACAGTGACTTGCTGCTTCTGGGCCTGATTACTTTTATTCCATTAAGAGCTTGTATTTGACCCAGGGCCCCTGAGTGGCATTACGTGACCATTACGAAGTTACGGTTCTGCTGCGGAGGTTCGGTGCAGGGAGCACATCCAGGGAGGGCAGAGGACAGGGAGGGTCACCTGCGGAATCTACACTTACTGAGGAAGCAGGGCTGGGTGGGGGTGCTAGGGTAGACCAAAGTGGTAGGTGGGCACCCGTAAGGTTGGTGTGGGGGTAAAGACAGAGGTGTGGCCAGAGGGGAGTGTTCAAACCTGAGACTCCAGGGCGCCCCGGAGGGTGGTGGCATAACTGAGATGAGGCCAAGGATTAGGGGAGTCCGGTTTCAAGGGTTCCCCCACCTGCCTGCTGGGGTGCCGCATCTGCCAGAAGCTACAGTAGGACGTGAGTCATGGAGAAGAGGTCAGGGGCCTGGGAGCACAGGGGTTAGGAGAGCCCCTCCCCACACACCTCCAGGCCCTGCAGGGCACTGGTGGCCCGGCCGAGTGGCCCCCTCCTCCCAGGAAAGAGCAGCTCCAGTCGGGGCCAGAGTTTAGGAAGAGGATGTGTCAGAGTGAGGATATGTTTGCCGGTTGTGGGGACTATCCCTGGGGCACCGAGGAAGGGTGGAGGCTGGGAGGGGCAGAGGGGGGAGGAGAGGCCCCCAGTACTCAGTTCCCCAGCAGAGTCCCTGGGGGCAGTGGGTGAGGCTTAGGCTTCTGGAAGTCCCAGCCTGCTGTGGCTGGAGGTCCCAATGGCCTGGGGTGAGGTGGAGGCTGCTCAGCAGGGCCCTGAGTCGGCCTCCCATGCTCTCAGCCTGCTCTCCCAGGCTTCAGCAAGTTCTCAAGGTAGGAAGGGCCTCCGGTCTCCTCCCGAGCAGAGGCTGGCTCTCCTCCCGGGAATGTACAGGCCCCTTAGCGCCAGCCTGTTGTCAGTCACACCCCTGAGGATTTACTTGTGCAGGCCAAGAAGCTGTGACAGAGACTGGTCAGTGCGTGCCCCAGCCCAAGTCACACAGCAGCACTCACTTGTCACCTACACCTTGACCCATGCAGTTCAGGGCGGCGTGGCGGCTGAGGGAACTTGGGCTTTGAATACAACCAGAGACGGTCACCTTGATTTGCCATGGGGACACCCCAGTGGACACTCAGAGCAGATGGGGCTCATGGCGAGGTCCGGGCAGCATGGAGAGGTGTGGGGTGGGAAGGAGGGAGAGCTGAGCTTCCCTGTCCCTGTCCCCGTCCCTGTCCCCGTCTGTCTCCCTCTGCTCTCTCGGGGCTGCTCCTGCTCAGCCTGCGGAGAGGCTGGGCTCCACTGGACCCAGGGCTCAGCAAAACATCCAGCCGGAAAAGCTGCTGCTGCTCTTCTTGGCTCCTGAAATCCCTCAAGTCATCTCAAGGTGGTCACTGAGGAGACCCYGAGTCATTCTCTGTTAGTGGCACAGGTGGCCGAGCGCAGAGCCATGAGCTTCTCCCGGGTTCTAGGGCCTCCCTTTTCGTCTTGTGAGAGGACGTTTTTGCCCAGAGGGTGAAATAGATGGTGGATGCGAACTGGGGGTGGTGGGCTGTCGCGCGTGAGCGGTTGGCAGAGCTGGGTGACCGAGGGRTGAGGGAGCAGTGAGGCCCCCCGGGACAAAGGAGGGGCAGGCTTTGATTTGCATTTTCTCCTAAAATGTTTTTATACACTGCAGCTCAGTCACTGTGACTAATCACAAGATTTAATGGCCTTAAACTGCTCACTAAGGGCCCAATTCAATTAAAAAATGTCCTGCGGAAGCCATGAATAATCCCCTCGTCTTGGCTTTCCCAGTCTTCCAGAGGCTTCCGCCAAGTGGAGGCCAAATGGATTTTTTCCTTTTTTAATCTTTTTTTATCATCGTGGGCCTGGGCCCCCTGCCAGCGACATCTCCCTCGCCTCCCCTCCTTCCGTCCCACTCTGCACCAGGCCCACGGGGCTCCAGCTGGGCCCCGCTGACACTGGGAATGACTTCTGCTTCTTTGCAGTTTGACAGGCTCTGGAGTGAGATGCCCGTCAGTGCCAAGGGGCGGCTGAAGTACCCCGACTTCCTGAGCAGGTTTGGTCCGGAGCGGGCAGCCACGCCACCAGTCTCCCACAACTCGACCAGGGCCCAGAGAGGGAGCAGCGTCCCCGTGGTCTTGGAAAGAACCAGATCTACCGTCTCCTCGCCCACCCATGACCTGAAAGGGGGGTCGAAATCGCGGAGTCTGCCCTGCGTGAGTTCTCAGCCGGCCAAGGCCCCTGCCACCTTGCTAGACCCACACAGCCTGGCGCCAGGGTGCTCCCTCCCCGGGTGCAGGCGACCAAGAGACTGGGCTCAGGGGAGCCTGCCGTGGGGGACTCGGGAAGGGGCTTCCTGTGGAGGACTGGCTGTGGGGAGGGCAGGAGGGAGGGTCGGGCAGGAGGGGGGTCAGCACTGGGGTGACCCGGAGACTCTGCTGGTCTGCTGGTGTGGAAGGTGGAGGGGCCCCAAGCTGAGGACCAGGGGAGGTCTCTGGAGGCTAAAGACATCCGGACACCTGGGTTTTAGCTCAGCAAGGCCACTTAGACTTTGGTTTTGGGTGTCGAGTCGCCAGGTCTGTGTTCATCTGTCAGAGCAGCAATAGGTCACACACAGGCCTGAGGGCCCTCAGGACATCCCGTTCACTGTGAGGGGCACGAACCATGGCGGGTTGCTACGCAGCAGAGACGTGGTCTGCGGAACTCTGGTGCCCACTGTGGCTGCTGCAGGGAAGGGACCCACAGAGGCAGGGAGATGGTGGGTGGATGGTCTGGGCGAGAGGCCCCTGTCTTGCAGCGGGGTGGGGAGGGCGTGGGAGCAGGGCCACACCCTGGACGGTCTTCAGGGTGGACCCACAGGACCTCCTGAGGGTGCACTGCGGGCGGGGCAGGAGTGGGAGAGTCCGGACGCTGCCCAGTGCTGGCCTGGCGGCTGGAGAAGGCAATGCCCACCCCAGGAGCTGCGCAGGCCCTGGCAGGAAGAAGGACCTGGGCCCCCTGAGGGTCGTTGAGGAGCTCAGGAGAGAGGTCCGGGTTAGACGGAATTGGCTTCCTGCTGTAAATGGGAAATACAAGGAAACCAAGAACAGCCTCCTACTTGGTCCACCTCATTTCGAAATAAGAGATATTCTGTGTTTACTAGATGGATACCTCGGGCCAATGACAGGTCAGTCCCTCATTTAGGTAAGACTCCCCAGGCCCCAGGCACATATACCACTGGTGCACTTCAACTGTGGCGGTATATTTATCTCCCAAGCTATTTTGGCATTACGATTTGGCTCAAATACAGCTCACTGATGGAAATGAAGTTTGTCAGTTGTAGGATGTTTATCTGCTTCATTCTTCATTGTATTTACCCTACCTGTGTCACTGCGCACCTCCAACCCCGAGTCCCCTCGGCTGGTTCTTTATTATTTTCACTTACTTTATTTATTTATTTATTTATACCAGGGATTGAACTCAGGGGCACTTAAACACTGAGCCACATCCCTAGCCCCATTTTATTTTTTATTTTGAGACAGGGTCTTGCTGAGTTGCTTAGGGCCTTGCTAAGTGGCTGAGGCTGGCTTTGAACTTGTGATCCTCCTGCCTCAGCCTCCCAAGCAGCTGGGATTACAGGTGTGCTCCACGCACCCAGCTCTTACTTCCACTTTACATCTCATTTTAAACCACCTTTTATTTTCCTTCCCACCAGACCCCCGCGAGCATGGGGCTAGCGCCAGGCACCCCGCCCCTGCAAAACTGTGAGCCCCTGGAGAACAAGCTCAGGAAGCAGGTCCAGGGCTGCTGGCGGGGGCTGCTGAAGGAGTGCAAGGAGAAGGACGTGGACAAGCAGGGCACCATCTCCGCCTCCGAGTTCCTGGGTGCGCTGCGGCTCCGTCCCCTTTGCCACTCCTCTGCAGGAGGCTGTTCTCCCTGGCACAAGCCCATACTCCAGGGGGGAGGTGAAAGAGAGCGGGAGACCCACGGGGGCTTCTGGGGAGTGGGCAGCCTGCAACCTGCAGGGCCACGGCACCCTCTGTGACTGGCAGCTGGAGACCAGACCCGTGTCACTGGAGAATGTGGCGCTCACAGACCAGGCAGCGGCACAGTTGGGGGGGGCCCACTCTGCCAGCCTCCCCTCCTTGGTGTTGGTTAAACTGCTGGGACTTACACATCACTAGGTGTGGCGTGCTGGCCAAGGTCTACACCCAGGAAGTGAGTCGGACCCAGCCGCTTAGCTCTTCCTAGTAACCCTGCTGACATAAGAAGTTCCCTCAAGACCCTGCAACAGGGTGCACACTCACTATCACAACCAAGACTTAAAATGCACAGAATAAGGTGTCATTTAACAGCACACCTGAAAAAGTACTCGTAAATTAAATAGGAAAATATGAGATCAATACTAATCAAATACTATGATGTTGATCAAATGCAACATGTTTTGCTAAAACCAAATCAGCAAAACTGGTTCTAATGCCCATTCGAGTTGCCCTCGGTTTTTGAGTTAATTCTATTGGTTCTGAGCATGAGGCACCCTAATTGGTGCTGCTGTTCGTATGGTCATTGTTTTCCTTCTTAACCATGAACTTCCTGGTCAGTCACGGATCCATTATTCCCAGGAGCTTGCTAGGCTTAATAGTGCACCCAGAATTCAAAACTGACCCACGGCCAGTCCTTCCGCATTCCCCTCCCTGCTGACGCCTACTGCAGGTCGGCATGGGAAGTAGTTCCACAGATCGTAGATGTCATTGGAATGAAAATGCAGGGTGTGCAGATGGTCGGGGCCTAACAGAGTCCCCAGCGCCTGTCGAGCCCCCTCCCACAGCCGCCCCAGCAGCCTCCCCCTGCTGCTTGCACCAGCCCCTCTCCTGGCTCCCACAGTACCCTGTCCACCCCCTGCCACCACAGCTCTCGTGACAGGACAGCGGGCTACCCAGGACCGTGGGCCTCTCCTGGGGCACTGAGTCTGTCGTGCGTCTGTCTGCCTGGCCGTCCACCCACCTGAGCTCTGAGGCAGGAGGGAGGGCCAGCTGCGGGTGCTGAGGGGAGGGTGAGCCAGGGGACCGCCACCGACGGCCTGCCGTGGTGTCTGCAGCCCTGGCGGAGAAGTTCAACCTGGACATGAGCAAGGAGGAGAGCCAGCAGCTCGTCCTCAAGTACGACTTGAAGAACAACGGCAGGTTCGCCTACTGCGACTTCATCCAGAGCTGCGTGCTGCTGCTGAAGGCCAAGGAGACTGCGCTGATGCACAGGATGAGGATCCAGAACACGCAGAAGATGGTAGGAGTGCAGCCGGGGCGGGGCGGGCGGGACAGGACGGGGCCCCTGCTTCTCAGAGAAGGTGGACTTGGTGCATCAGAGGCTCCATGGGGCCCCTGGCCAGGCCACCCCGCTCTGCCGCCAGCCAGGACTCACTGCCAGGTGTCCCTGGCCTCTCTGCCACCTGCCCACAAACCCTGCTCAGAGGTTCCTGGACCCGTGGCACGTGCTGAGCGCGGCCTGACCCCATCTCCTCTGTTACCCAAAGGCCCTGCAGRGCAGCTGTCTGGGTCAGGGCTCAGCCTGGAGCAGGGCAGGGTAAAGGCGAGTGTCCGCCAGGCTTCAGGGACATTGAAAACAACTCAGAGACTTACTTCCTTGTAAATGATTCAAAGATCTCCTTTCTCTCCTTCTGGAACCACAGAAAGGCCTGGAGCCTGGACCTCGGGTCCTCGTGTCCTGGGAAGAGCTCAGGTGGCTCTTCCCAGAGCCATGAGGAGCATCAGCCTGACGCCAGGCACAGTGTCAGCCACTCCCAGGGGCCCTGCCATGTGGGGCGGCCACCACAGAGACAGCTGAGTGCGCCTGGGCGTGGGGTGGGGCTGGAGGAGTTCTCCCTCTGTTCCCTCAAAGGCACCCTGCAGACACTAGGTGGCACCGAAGGGCGCGGCTCTTAACTCTCAGCTGGGTGCAGTCTTCCGCTGACCCTGGCCCCATGCGTGTTGGCGGCCTCTCCTCCCGCGCACCTTGGGCAGGCCCCCAGACCTGGACCAGGAGGGGCCCCAAGCTGCTCTGCATCCTCAGTGGCGCTGAGCTAGATGACAAGTGCTGCTGGCGACTCAGGGACCAAACACTGAGTCCAGTCACCTTGGGACTCAGCTGGAAGGGCCCTGCCCCCCACCCCCCCACCCCTGGCAGCCAGCAGAGGTCAGGGCGCACACTGCCAGCAAACGACTTGGTGGAGTCCGTGCGGAAAGTGTCTGCCCTAACCCTGGTGCATTGGTCGTCTTGTGCAGAATCGGGGGCCCTCTTAGCGGAGCTTCCATTGAACAAGCAGGGCCCGTGTGAGGCTTAGGCCGAGCTCATGGAGGGGAACTCAGGTTGGGGCGTCCTCTGGCCAGCTCAGCTCTCTGGTGAGCAGGGAGAGGCCACAGGTCCCAGGAACACAGTTGGGGACCATGGGGACCACGTGGCCTGAGAGGCCCCTACCTCCCTCCTTCCTCCATGCCCACGGCCTGTTGCCTGGCCTGAGAATGAGCGAGGTCTGCTGGCCGGAAGGCCTGCGCGGAGCGGCCAGTGGGAGTGCTGGGAAGAGCTCGCTGGGCCTCCTGAGCCTCCCGAGGAGAGGCTGCCCAGCTTCCAGAACTCATCTGCCCTCTGTGTGGCTAAAAGCCGGTGACAGGTGCCCTGGGACAACCAGGGAGACCAGCCTCGTGGCCGATGGCCCAGCACAGCCCACTGCTCTCCTGGCCCATCCCAGGCTCCACGCCACGCTTCACAATGGTTCTGCCCTTCGCGCCCCTGGGAGAGCAGCCCCTGCCCACCTGACTTGCTGTGGCCCTGTCTCAGCCATCTCCGTCCCCTCTGGAGCTGCCAAGGCCCCACCATAACTGAGGCGCTCTGTGAAGTTCTTGCAGAGAAGGAAGAGCGTGGGCTTTCCAGCCTCTGGGCATCTTCTCTGCAGCCTCCAGCAGCGTTGAGCCCACTGGGGAGGTGGCCCCGGGGCTGCTGGTTCTGGCGCTGCCAGGGTCACGGGCCAAAGAGTGCCACGGGGTCAGCACACCGTGGAGTGATGGGAACCGGACGTGGGCCGAGCCGTCCTCAGGGTGCATGGACCCACCATGAGGCAGATTAGCAGCTACCAAAGCTCTGGGGAGCTGGGGACTTCCCATCGTRGGCGCTAAGTGAAAGCAATTTGATCTGCTGATTTGTTTTACGTAGCGCCATGTTCAGATTAAACTTTCCTCAAATGTGTTCCTCGTGGCTGCCGACACTCACCTCTGTGATATCCAGACATGTGCTGGGCTGCATCCTGCTAAAACATCCTGTTTCCAGTCAGTGGCGCCTACGCGAGGCGGGGTGGTRTGCGCATGTGCTCTAGCTGCTGGATGTGACCACAGCCCGGCGAGGTTTCAGACTCCTTATAACCTACTGGAATTCGCGGGGTGGAACCTCTTTTTTCTCAGACCATCTTGAAGTCGACCTGGCACCTGCCAGGCCCTCACCTGCAGGAGGCATGTGGCCTCCTGAGCCTCCGTCTCCTCCTCTGTGACCTGGGGGTAGGAGACCGACCCCCTTCACAAGGTGCGGGGAGGGCCCCAGGGGGCCGTGGCAGGCGAGGACAGCCACCCACAGGGAGCTCCCGCCCCTCCCCCACCTGGCCCTGGTCCCCCTCCAGCCTCCCTTGTGTTGCAGAAGGAGGCAGGCACAGAGTCGTGCTCTCTCTACATGGTGCTGCTGCGCATCCAGCCCAAGATCCTGCACTGCTGGCGGCCCATGCGGCGCAGCTTCAAAAGCTACGACGAGGGCGGGACGGGGCTTCTGAGTGTGGCTGACTTCAGGAAGGTGAGCCCAGCTCCCAGGGGTGGTGGCCTCTGAGCAGGACCCACCACCCAGCATCAGTGGCCAGAAAGCTCAAAACAGGGCCCCTGTGCTTCCACACAGAGGCCCAGGTGGCCTGCTATCCCAGCCCTTGCCCCCTGGGGCTGGTTGCCTGGGCCCTGTCCACCTGCCCCTCCCCTCGAGCTCCAGCTCCTCCTGAGGGTGGCCCTGGCCCGCACCCCATCCTGCAGCGCCACTGCCCTTGGCAGCTTCCTGTGGGCCCTGCCTACTGCCGCTGCTCCTGAGCCCTGGCAGGTGCTGGGCAGAGACCCTGTGCTCCATCGAGGCCCCTGCCGCTGGGCCTCGTGGTCGACCCAGAAGAGAGCAGGACACAGGCCTCCCATGCAGCCCACATTGCCCATGGCCACCTTCCCTGGGGCCAGGCACAGTGGCAGCCAGGGTTCTCCTCTGGCCATGAACGAGGAGCAGGAAGGAGGGCGGTTCTCTCCTCCCCTTCTTCAGACACTGCCCTCGCAGAGGAGGAGATGGGCACGGGCGGAGGACCCGGCCCTGCTGAGCACTCACTGCTTCACCCCAGGGGCCAGACAGCCAGGCCAGCTGCCCTCCGCCCAGGGGTCTCCTCTTGGAAACAAACCAAGACAAAACATAGATAAGAATGGGGAGCCTCACTTTATGACCAGAATCTGTCTCTTGGGATTTGTGGCTGAAGGTCCAAGTTGACTTCCCTCCACATCAGGGAGTCCAGAGCTGGCATGGTGGCTGGATGGTCATCAGGGACGCGTTTCCATTTACCACCCTGGGTGCCTGGCTTCCTCCCCCAGTGCCAGCTCGTGGTCCCAGATGGCTGCTGGGGCCCCAGCCTCATGTCCACATTCCAGAGAGGAAAGGAGGAGAGGAAGAGGACCTGGGCCTCTCCTTTAGAGCAGTCTCGCAGAAGTTCCAAATGCATTCTCCTTTCGCTTTCTCTGGTCAGGTGCCTGGCTGCAAGGGAGGCTGAGAAGTGGTCCCTGAGAGTGGRCCACAGCAGCCTAGAAGGAAAACAGGTTCTGTCACTGGGGCAGGGCAGTTGGCTCTGGGCGGACACATAGCTGTCTCTGCCATAGGCTGCATCACTGTCCCACCCGTGGGCTGCGGTCACCCACATTAAGGCCCTGAGACCAGGTCTCCCCACCCCAACCCGCTCCTCCGTCTGCTCACCCTGCCTGGACATGTGGCCCTTCAGGAAGGCCGGGGGATTGACCTGCGGCCCGGGAGAGCCAGGGTTTCCATCCCTTCCAGTGTCACACCCAGATGCACAGAGGGGCCGCCCTGGGGCTGCGTCCAGTGAGGCGTGCCTTTCTGGGAGGGCTTCGGGCTGGCCTGRGTGACGGTGGCCTGCTGTGTCCCGCAGGTGCTGAGGCAGTACAGCATCAACCTCTCGGAGGAGGAGTTCTTCCACGTGCTGGAGTACTACGACAAGACGCTGTCCTCCAGGGTGGCCTACAATGACTTCCTCCGCGCCTTCCTGCAGTAGCCTGCACCCAGCAYGCACAGCGGGCCTGGCTCTGGCCCAGGGCTAGTAAAATAAGGGCATTGAGGGGGCTCCCAAATTTCCCAAAACCTCTCCTGAAAGGAGACCTGGCCAGCCTGCAGCCCTGGTTCGGCAGGCCCTGGCCGAGGCTGGAGGCCTCTGCAGGCGGCCTGGGCAGCCCTGCCTCGTCTCCTTCACTCACTGGTTTGAGCAAATAAAAAGTCTTTTTGAGGCTTTAAAAGAGTATGGAGATGAAGTGTTTTAGAGCTTGAAATTTCTGGAGGTTTTATCCACAGTCACCCGATGGGCACCTCCTCCAGGCCAGCCCTGTGCACTGCCACCCGAGGGCGGCCACTGGCTCAGAGGACACCTGCTGCACCCTCTGTGGGGCCRAGTCCCTGGGGCCTGCGAGCTGCTGCAGGGTGCCTGCTCAGGGGCGCTGGCCAGCTGATGTCTGCAGAGCAGCTCACCCCACGTGGGGTCTGGTTGCACCCTGGCTCAGCCTTTCTGAAGCCTGGCCCAGGGGTTGTTGGTGTGACAGGTGACGAGCTCAGAGAAGTCTGGCTGCTGCTCTCTTCCCCTGCAGTGCAGCAGCCGAGGGCCGGGGCAGGTGGCAGCCTCTGGAGGCCTTCAACCCACCGCCAGGGTGACCACCTAGGGACAGCGGCAGGCGCCCCGGGATAGGGAGGAGGCAGGTCCTTGCCCCCAGCTCCTCGGGCACTGGGCCACAGCTGAGGTGACTTGGGCCAGGCAGGGCCGGGCAGGCCCCAGGTCCAGAGAACCCTGGGCCCGGGRAGCTCGGGAGAGCCTGCTACAGGGAAAGCAGGGGCAGCTCAGGAGAGGCCCCAGAGCCGCACGGGGCCCTGAGCAGGCACCCCACAACCTGGCTGCCCCTCTCGGGCCTTGYAGGCCCCTGCCACTCCCTGCCTCAGAGTCCTTGTCCATGGATGGGGAACACGCTCTGACCCTGGGCCCTTGGGAAGCTCTGTTGCAGGAAGAGGCTTCCATCTGAGATAAGGAGGGACATGAGCACCCACATTCCGGGTCCAGGCAAGGACTGGAGGACAGCTCGGGCGTGGGCACAGGACCAGGGTGGGGCCAACGACCAGGGAGCACGGGAGAGTGCCAGTCTCTGCCAGCACTGCTGACACATCACCATCTGGGCTTCCCCTGGTATTCCCACTTGACAGGTGAGGAAACTGAGGCGTGGGAAATGGACTTACCCTCAGCCTCACACTCACAGTGAGTGGCTGCCCAGGCAGGGCTGAGGCCCAGATGACAGTGTGTGCTGTGGCTGGGTAAGTGTCCCCTCAGGCCCCCGTGTTGCAGGCTGGGCCTCCACCCATGGCCCTGTTGGGAAGGGCCAGGAACTTGGGATGTGGGCCTAGCAGGAAGTGTTTAGGCCCCTGGGACTGTGTTGCCAAGGGGATGATGGGACCCCAGCTGCTCCGTCTTCTCTCGCCTTTGCTTCCTGGGCATGAGGCTAGTGTCTCTGCTCCATCATACACTCCCGCCATGAAGTGCTGCCCACCACAGGCCCAGCCTCCTCTTCATAAGCTGGTTGTCTCGRGTATTTTGTCACAGTGCAGAAAGCTGGCTGACACAGCCTGGGGCTGGGATGGCTGCCTGGAGGAGGGCGAGTGCCCCTGCCCAGAGCCTCCTGCCCGGCACCGTGCTGCAGCCCTCCTAGGGCCTCTGCCCTCTTCTGCATAGCCCCAGATTCCTCCCAAGGCCCAGCGCTGAAGTCGCCTGCATAGGAGCCTCTGTGGCCTCCGGGCAGAGGCAGTGCRCCCTGCCATGCCCCAGTGGAGGCAGTGTCCCAGGCAGTGTCTAGCTTCATCCCCCCACACCTTACAGGAACCCCGGGCACAGAGTCCACCAGGGTAAGAAGGATGCTGACCACCTCATCTGCCCCACAGAAGGTGCCRTGTCTGGCTGGGCACAGCTCATCCCTTTCTCAGAAGGAAAGCCAGCTGGTCTCTGGTGACAGGGGCCTCTCTATGACTGACAGTGGTTGCTGGCTCCTCATGGTGCTGAGGGTGGCCTGGAGGTCAGACCCCTTCAGTTGGACGCATCTCCCAGATCCTAGGTCCTTTCAAAAATCCTAGGTCCTTTTGGCCAGCACTGCTGGTGGGACACCTGGTGTGACATCTTCAACAGGACTGAAATGCAACTTCATCTATGAGATGAATCAAGTGACTCTGCTTTTAGTGAGCTCTGGAAAGAAATTTTTGTAGCCAAAAACTCTTCTTCTGACCCCCAAAATTGGAATTGTGTTCCTAAACTTGCAAAATGACTTAATACAGTCCCCGCCGTGCTGGTGGGTGGGCCGCTCTTGCCAGGCCTCGGCACTAGTGGCCCTGCCTGGGTGCCTGGCCCCCACCTGAGTACTGGGCTTCGGCTTCCTCTGACTGTCACTCACAGCCTCACAAGTGGCATCTGCTGTTTCTTCCACCCATTCCTCAAAACTCAAAGCCCTCCCTTCCATGGAGCAGCCCTGATTTCCTGAGGCTGACATTTAGTCTGGCACCCATCAGCAGTCTTGTGGGTCCATGATTTTTAAGGAATAAAGATGGAGAAGGAAGTAAAGAAAGAAAACAAGACCAACAACAGACCACATAACCTACAAAGTCAAATATATTTACTATCTAAATTCTTATGAAAATATCTGACTTCCAAGAACAACAACAACAACAACAACAAAATGAGGCATCTAAAGGAAATTTAAAAATATAGTGTGTGGAGAGAGAACCTCCTAAGGATCAAACTTAGATATGACACAGGTTTTGGAACAGGTTTGGGGCCTGGGTGACGGGGACAGGAGCAGTAAGGTTTTCTGAGGAGGATTCCAAGAAGATAAGGGAGGAAGCAGCCAGGCCCAGAGCTGAAGATAGGAAGATCATTTAGGAACAGAAAATAAATTCAAAATAACAGGTTGATCTGTTACATAATGGAAAAGGAAGACAACACACAGGATCATACGTGATTGGCATAAAACCTCAGGAAGGGATTCGGTGGAAATGCTTGAGATGAAAATCATCGTAACAGAGCTAAAGAGTGCCATTGACACACTCAGCTGCAGATTCGGCACAGCCCAGGGAAGAATGAGTGAATGTGACCAGGTCCGTAGCAGGGGCTTAAAGTGCAAAGGAAAGAGTGGGGATAGCGTAACGGAATATCTAAGAGCTAATCGATACCCAGTGCATCTCCTAAGGGCAGGAGCCTTGAAGAGTCCCCTCAGTTCCCTCTCTGTCCTTAGGACCCAGCCTAGGGGTCAGCACTGGTCCTCTGTAGACCTCATCTTGGCCTCTACCTCTCCCTCTGATTCTGCCACACTGATCTTTTTTTGTTCTTAATCTGTCTCTGCCTCAGGGACTTGGCACATGCCATCCTCTCCACCTGCAATGATCTTCCTATCCTCAGCTCTGGGCCTGGCTGCTTCCCCCTTTATCTTCTTGGAGTCCTCCTCAGAAAACCTTACTGCTCCTGTCCCCGTCACCCAGGCCCCATTACTATCTCACTGTCCTCAGAGCCTCCCCATCATCTCCAAAGGGTCTTGTCCTTTCCTGACCCCTGCCCCCCAGGAAGCAGGCACCGCACAGGGGGAGACTTCCCTGTGGCCCCCATCAGTGTTCCTGTGCCTAGAAGAAGTCCCAGCACGGGTGGGCTCAGCAGGCAGAGCCCCCATAAATGCTGGCATGCAGTGGTGAAGGACGGTTCAGATTCCGGTTGGGTGTCCACCGTGGGCCTGATGGCCTCTTCCCTGGCGGCGCCTCTTCYGGGTGAGGACTCGCACTGGGGTTTCCCGTGAAGAGGTTTTCAGAGGATGAGGCACTTCCCAGGGCACCGGGGAATGGACCCCTGGCAGCCGTGAACACCCCTCAGCAGCAGCACCGCATCCCCTCGCCTTTGAGGAGCCAGGTGGCCGGGGAGGAAGACCCTGCCCTGGCTCACGGGCCTCCCCTGGACATCTTCCCCATCCCGGAGRATCCCCCACCATTGGACAGAGCAGGCTCCCAAAATGGCAGAGGCTTGACAGCTTTAAAGGCACCTTTCCGCCCCCAGCCCCGACTCACATAGCACATGTCCCTTCTCAAGTGACTGTACACAGCAAAGTGTCCTGGGTGCCTTGGCCCACCCAGTTGTCACTGTGAAGAGCATGGCACCTTGGAAGACTGTGTCAAGGGTGTGGCAGGAGAGCGGGCACAGAAGACTCACGAGGTCTCCACACATCAGTGCCGAGCGTTCCCCTGGCCCAGCCCTCTGCTCAGACCCGTGGACATCKCCAGACACCAGCAAGGAGAGGTAGGCAGGGGTCCTCCAGGCAACCCCAGGCCCCCTGGCCAGAACCTCCCACCCACACCTCAGGAGGGCGCTCTGGAGGTACGAGAGGCTGAAGGGCAGGCCTSGATTCAGGGACAGTGACAAGGACAGCGCGGGGGCTCAGGTCACAGAAGTGTCTGGCACTTGGGCCTCATGTGGGAGAGAGGGAGAGGGAAAGGGAGAGGGAGAGGGAGGGAGAGGGAG